GAAAAACACGTGAAGACACAAATATGCATGTGTACACATACAAATAACTAGATACAGACATGTATGTAGATATACATCATCATACACATGTACATAAACAAATAAATCAATGTGGCAACTTGTTAAAATAAGCAAATGGTGAGCAGCAACTATTCATTACAGTACAATTCCAACTTCTCTATAAGCTTGCTATTTTTCATAATAAAATACTAGGACATAAATTAGTCTAAAACATGCCTCTTTGTTGGTGAAGGTTAATGACCTAAAAGCCTCAGGTGGACTGAGATGCTCTGGACACTGACATTGACTTGTGGAAGCATCTGATATGGAGAGCCACATACCAAACCTGCTGGTATCTTCCGCTCCTAGATTGCAGGGGAGTTGACCTGCAGATAAGATTATTCCATCCCCCAAACTGTACCAAGCTTTCTTTTGGAGGGCCAACAACCAGCTTGCAAATCATGACATGAAGACTTATTATTATTAATTATGAATGTTTGGACTTATGCTCATTTCTTGCTAGCTCTTATAATTAGTTATACTGTTTCTCTTCATCTATGTTTTGTCTCAGGGCTTTTTACCTTTCTTTCTTTCTGTATGTCCTATTCCCTCTAGCTGGGTGGTGGCTGCCTGGCTGGCCCCAGCTGTGTCCCTTTCTATCTCCCCCATTCTCTTCTCCTGTTCTTCTCTCTCCAGCCTAGATTTCTCCTCCTACTTATTCTCTCTGCCCACCAGCCCTGCCTAGCCTTTCTCTACCTAGCTATTGGCCAGTCAGCTTTTTATTAGACCAATCAAGTGTCTTAGGCAGGCAAGGTGAGACAAGTGCAACACATCTTTACATAATTAAACAAATGCAGTATAAACAAATGTTACACATCTTTACACAGTTAAAGTAATATCCTGAAGCATAAACAAATTTAATACAACTTTGCCTAGTTAAAGTAATATTTCACAACACCAAACTCCCTGTTTTCCATCCTCTAAAACTCCAAGACCCTCATACCATAATCTCTCCTCCCACAGAGAGACTGGTCTTTCAATTGTTCGGATTCAAGGATCAATTATATTCTGCTTCTGGAGATGCCTATCTACTTTCTTTTATTTACATATCACCTCCATCAAATTGATCTAACAGTTGTGGTGCTGGGCATGGAACCCAGGGCACTGCACACACTAGGCAAGTGCTCTAGAACCCAGCTACATCCTTAGCTCTTGGAAATGTCTGAAATGTAAATAGATGCCATATCTGGAAGATATCTTCAGCAGAATGGAACTTTTTTCCTGATTCTAGATATTTCAATTTTAGTCCAGAATTGGCAGCCAGTTCATTCTTAAGTCCTACTGACTTATTCTGATGAAAACCTAACCTTACTTTCCTTTCATTGTGCTGTTATACAAAGTCAGTAGGGTGGTGTCTACAGTGTTGTAATGGAGTTTCACTAGGAGTGGCTTGAATATCCTTCCCAGCTTTGTGTTATATGCATGATTTGATAGCTGTCCCTTATTTTCATCCAAATCACTAGACAAGTGTGAAGATGGGGTCTCTAACATGTTCTAGAATGACCACTCTAGGTCATTCTCTGGTGCTTATGAAAAATAAAAATTTTATTTCTGCTCAGTGCCTCTCCCGGTTTACCCAGGGACCTTTTCCACTTTCTGTTGCTTTTTGAACATTGCAGTGGTGCCACCCATTTTCATTTCATAACATCAATTAGTTTTCTAGGATTCCTTTAAGATCACCCACAGAGGTTCAATGTTTACAAGGTCTCATGGGCCCCTGGGATCTGAGCCAGGGACTTGGATTGACTTCCAGCACTTACGTAAGGGGTCACAAACTCAAATGTCTATAGGAGCCAAGTAGTGGACAGGGGAGGGAATCTCTGGGAAACTAGAGATTCCCAACCAAAGTCAGCAGCACCTCAGATTTCATGACCCAGTGCTAAGTGTCCAACAATATCAAACCATCTAATAGTGTAAGAAAATAGGAGGTTTTTTAGAAAGAGATATGTAGATTTCTAAATTTTGGGTTTATACATTACATTTGAGGTTCCATCCATCAATGACATGGATTGGTATTTTTTCCATGATCCTCCCCCAAAACAAAAATGCTGCTTCATTTTTGCCCATGTTAGCACTGTTACTAGCTTCTTGACTTAGGGCCAAAGAGTTTTGTTTTGTTGTTGTTGTTGTTGTATGTTTTTGGTGGTGGTGGTGGTGGTGGTGGTGGTGGTGGTGCTGCTGCTGCTGCTGCTGCTGCTGCTGCTGCTACTGCTATTTGGTTTCATCTGTCATTTCTGTCATCGGTATTGCTGTGCCAGGATCAAGTTGGCACCACCACCACTCCTTGCTCTTTGATGAGCCCCCTTGGTAGCTTTTAAAAAGTCTGTGTCCTTGGGGCATACCAGTCTTTAGTATTCCTAAAGCTATGTTGCAAACTCACACTTCCCTCATATTCCCTGTAGAATATTATGCCATGCCATTTTTTCTATGTTTTATTCATGTGCCATTTAAATCTGAGCTCACTGGAGAGTTCCTGGGGACAGCCTTGCTGCTTTCTCTCATTGTATGCCCTGTCTCTGACCTTTTAAGTAATTCTGACTCGAGGCAAGCCAGCAAGGAGCCTGTAGGTGACAACATTCTAAGCAATATCGTAGTACCAGCCCTTCTTTCTACTACCTTAATCGTCCTAGTTTTGCCTTGCATTTATTTGCTCCTGAACTTTGAGCTCATCACCTAGCTCTTAGGAGGTGCACCTGGACCTTTTGAACATACCTTTCATAGTTGGAACTGGGATTTTGTAGATTCTCTCAGCTCATTTCTTTACCACTTAAAGTACTTGGGAATAATTTCATACCCTCTTCCTGCTCCCAGATAAGACCAAGCCTGACAAACTCCAGCTTCAACCTAGCAAGACAAGACCTGATTTTTCTTCTTGTTCTTTCCTGTGCCCATGGAGAATGTGAAGGATCTATTTTACATACCTTTCACCCAGTGTACAGAGCACAGAAAGAATCAACTCCTCACTAAACACTTCCCACAGGTAGCACACCATTAAGGACCTTTCCTGGATTCTCTCTCTTAATTCTAAACTCAATTCTATGATACTAGAACCACAATTACTCCTTTGCAAATGGGGAAACTGGGTTCAGGGCAATGTAGGAACTTCCCTGAGATCACATGGAAGAAAGACTGAGCTGAAATCTGAATCTATGAACCTTATTTTCAAAGGCACAAGCGTCATTCTTTTCTCAATGGCAAAAGGGAGTAGTTACACAAGTAAAATGCCACCAAGCAAACCAGAAACACAGATACTTGAAAAATGAGCCCCAACCCCCGGCAGACTCTTACCTGTGCTCACACATATATTTTAGATTGTCACCTAATATGTAGTAACAAGCCTCAAGCCTCCATATTAAAATCTTTTGAAGAAAAAAAGCTTAGAAACGAAACAAGCAATGGCACTGAAGTCTGATTTTTCAGCATGAACACATTCTAGAAGCATATATTAAACAGATATAACATGCCAGGCTTTGAGCCAGCAATAGGAATATCGTCATCAAAAGGCAGATTTGGTTGTTGCCTTAGTGGATCCATCTCTCTTATGCACTTCTCAAGTCACTGCCAAATTTTCCTCTCACAGACATTCACATGTGATACACATGACATTCTGAGAGGCTAGCCCTGCCTCCGGATACAAAGAAAAGAGGGCAATGCTTTAGTTCTCATTCCACCAGGTCTCTACAAAAGCTCCATTTTCTCTATTCTTGATGATGATCGAAGCTCTCTTGTCCCACAGAAAGCTAAAGTTGTGTGTTTTAGATAGAGGCTTGTTTCTATTGCCATTTTTAATCTCACAGATTTCTTTACATTAATTAAACCTGGGGAAACAGCTGGACCTGTTGTTCCTTTCATTCTTTCATTTGTTCCCAACCCATGTTCATGAGAACACATCTTGAAACCTTTACAGGACAATGATCACCACTACCATATCCCAAGAATCCGCTCTTCTTATTTTTGCCTCCAGTCCATTTCACTGTAATTTGAGCAATTTAGCAGAGTTTGGGAGTTAGAAAACAGTCTTAAACTATACTTCAACTAGTTTTACTGCAGTTAAACTAAAAGTGTTCACTGTCTGCAGTTGGACCAGCAAGGGCAGATCAGGATTGATGGCCTCTTCCATCTCAGAACATTCAAAAATTTAACTCACTCAATCTGTGGTTGCTACTTAAATAACAGAAATAACAGGGAATAAGTAAAAAAAAAAAAAAAATGTCAAAAATCCCTATCATCATGGAGTTTATTTTCAAGACATAAGAAGTTACTGAGACATGCAAAAAATGACTGGAAATCATTTTAAGTGAAATCAGTCAGACTCAAAAAGAAAAATAAATCTGGTTTTTCTCTTGTATGTAGAAATGAAATTTTAAAATCATATATATATTTTTTATTCATTCATATACAGGTGGGATATTTATATTTGCATGTGTCATTAAATGAAAGAAGATCATGAAAGAAGAGGAAGAAAATCAAATTACAAAAAAAACAAAATAAGCAAATAATATGAAAAATATAGAATATATTAGTTGATGATTAATATGTAAAATAAGAAAGGGAGATGGGAAGAGCTCCTAAGGAGGTGGCACCTGAATTAGGACTCACAGAAATAAGGGACTTAGCAGGCATCATCTCTGGGGTTGATGAAGGAGCCAGGGTTGAGGGCAAGGTGTGGGAGGAGCTTGCCTGGCATACTCAGGGCAGCATGGAGACAAGTAGAAGGCAGAGTCAGAGGTCAAGGACAGGTTAGAAGGAGAGACTTGTGGCCACTGAAAAGACCTTTTGGTATCAGAACAGTTTTAACACAGGTCACCAGAGAAGTTTCAATAGATAAAAACATGATAAACTTAGTATCTCAAGAGCCCACTCTGAATGTGAGTAGAACAAACATGAACAAGACTGTGAGGGATCAGCCTACCTCTTTAATCCCCATGTCCTTTTACCTGGTCTTCTATCACAGATGCCTGTAGCATGGCCAAATCTTTTTATTTCCTTTGAGCTTGAACTTGCTGCTGCTGGACATCTCTCTTCCCAAGGAAAGCTGTGAGAAAGGTTCATTGAAATGAGTTGTCTGTGGGTGGGAAAGGAAGTGACATTTAAGTATCTACTTTGTTCTAATGAGTAAGTTCATAGTACTTGACATGTCATCTGATTTAATTGTCTTGTCACAATATCACATGAAAGGCTCACAACAGAATAAGCGATTCAGTGATAGATGCTGCTCTACACATTCCATCTCTGACATCTCTGCCCATCCTGGGATCTCACTGAGCTGAGACAACACACAATAAATAATTCCCTCCATTAGGGAAATACAGGGCTCCCTTCAACACCCTCCTAGAGGGCATAACGGTGCTTCTCAGCTAAGACTGAAGCCGAAATCTTCAGGAGCTGAAAAACCCACGATTACTCATTTGGTCACAAGCTAAATTAAACCCTACCTCAGAGAGCTAACCACAAGATAAAGGTGGGGCCACTCAGAAGAAACTTGAACCCAATGAAAACATGCCTGAGAGGATGTGCCTGTCTCATCACTGTTCTTTTCCTACTTTAGAGGCATGAGAAAATACAGGAAGAAGAGCCAGACTTTGCTTTTGATGGATTACATGAGGGTAGGTAGCAAGGGTGAAGTCTGGTGGGAGGAATATTTCTTTGTCACTTTGAACTCTCAGCACATCTAGGAGATTCCACTCCTTTTCAACATTCCATATATATTACAAAGGCAAAGGGATACTTGGACCATTCCCACCCTCTCTCCTCCTGATAGCTTTAACTATAGGTCTAGACCACATATTTTTCTCCTACTTGATTTCCCAAAGTATTGAGGGTCAACCACATCCTGATAGCCCTTAAAGAAATGGAGAGATGCTCAGAACTGTTGGTTTTAAGTTCTGATCTCCTAGATTAAAGAGTAACTAAGGAAATGATGACAGGAGCATCTTGAATAAGCCATGGAGTGTGGAAACTGGGGTCACTGGGGTCTTATTTATTTTCAGTATGGTACCAGGATCCAAACCCAGGGCCTGTGTGTATGGGCAAACACTCTCACCAAACTACATCCCAACCAAAAACTTCCAACCCCAATTTCTCTCCTTCCCTCTTTCTCCACTCCTCACTATCTCTTACATTCTAACAGGCTCTCATTACATAGTACAGACCAGCTTCAAATCCATGACTCTGTCTTAATCCCCTTAGTACTGAGATTACAAGTATGTACCATTGTGTCACTAATTAAGACTTAAATTGTTTTCCATTGACTCTATGTTAAAATATTAACTCCCAGTATCTCAGAATATAACTGCATTTGGAAACAATGTCATTCATTCAAGCGGTTGTTAAACTGAAGTCATTGGAGGTGTCTAATCTGTCTGACATCTTTAAGAAGTGATTAGAACACAGACAATGGAAAGAACAGGTGAGAACACAGGGCAGAGACGGGTTTTAGGAAAAACCCACCCCACCTGCACCCAGATCTTCTATATACAGCCTCTAGGTCCACAAGAAAATCAATGCCTGTGTACTAGTTGCCCAGGTGAGGGGTTTTGTTATGGAAACCTGAGCACCACATACAGGTATCTTAACAATGGCACTGGAAAAGCTGAGCTTCTAAGCATCAGCCGATCTCTAATGCCCCAAATAGACAAACTCTACTATCAGCATAAATCAGGAATGGGGCCATACTAGGGACAGGTTGTAAATTCCTTCATCTAATTGTGTTCTGATGGCCTATGTTCTTGCTGATCTTTTCCATTGGTCCAGCTGTCCCTCCTTACCATCTTGTCACATTCCTGTCTCCTTTATCCTGACTCTCTGTAGAACACCTGGTACCCTCATTTTTACACATCATACATGCCACATCTTGTCTCTAAAACATGCGGATGTTTTAGAGTGGAATACATCCTTCCTCCACAATCCTTGTTTTAGCTGGGTCATCCACTCAACTATCACTCCCGTGTGTGAATTCCCTTTAGCCTGTTGGGATTTGCATGTATCAGTTTTGTTTCTGTGTCATGGTCATGACAGCAGCCACACTCGTGATTCTCCACATATGGCAGAAGTCACTGGAGATCTGGGGACCCGGCTGGGTAGTTAATTTGTATACAAGAATAGTTCTCAGAAAAACCTTTCCTTTAGCAAAGAGTGCAATACACACACACACACACACACAGACACACATGTGCACAGTGAGATTTGCCGCAGCAAATGAATCCATATACAGTATGCTGTTCACTGGACTTGTCACTGATCTTCTATGCTTTCACATTATGGTGGATTGCTCAGTGTAGCTCTATTCCCCTGGGGATCCTCTTGGTAATTCTCTAATTGCCTCAATAAAGCTTCTCTTTTCTCCCAGCTCTGTCTGCCTTCAGCCTTGAGATTTCCTAATGGAAACCACTCACTCCTATTAGACTCCCAGGCTGTAATTAGCAATCTGGGACTTTGGTTTCCTTATTCTTGTTGGTGTGAAGGTGAGGCCATTGCCAAAACATTGTCAATGTCAGTGGAGCAGCTCCTTGAAGAGAGCAGATGATGGAGCTGTTGCATGTTGACTGTCTCCTGTGTATTTATTGACTGAAACATTTGAGCTGTTGCTTTTCACATTTGTAATTTTAGATCACAGATGCCTAGCGAGTTTAATCATACAGCAAAGCTCACATTTAATGAGAAAAATGTCAAGTATATTGTTATCCACCATAAAAGCTGTGAAAAATATTTCTGCCATCTGCAATGTGCCTTCTGCTGCTGCCTCTAAGAAATTTTCGAGTAACAATACAAAATTAACAGTTGGGCAAACATTATAAAAGGAAAATTGCTGAAGTTCCCAAAACTCAGACCGTGCTTCAGTGTCATGTCAAGATACTACACCTTGATTCCCAGAATAACTGCTGCTTGGACAGCATGGTATCCTGCATACCACACACACCTTCAATATTCTGTCAGTGATTGCATTGTAGAACTGGCTACATCAGCCTCTGTGTAACATCCTTGCAAGTCATTTCCTCTCTAGCCGTCATGCATCAGCACACTCTGTGAGCCTGTCTCATCCTTACTTTTGCCTCCCTGCTGTGCTCTACATTCCAGCCAAGTCACTGGACTTACCTCCATGTTACTGCCGAGAAGAACTCTCCTCCCCTCTGTGTGGTTAATCCTACATTGTGCCACATCTATCTCAAATGTCCTTCCTGGGAAACCTTGAGTGCCACTCCCCTAAAGGACGAATCCACTGCAGACTTCCTTCTATGTATGCTGGAATAGTATCTCCACCTGAAGACTTTGCATGTGGATCCTAAAGCTTCATTCACCAGCCTCCGCCTGCTCAACCAAGCTCCTGGTTTACAACGACAATGCTTCTGCCACTACTGCCTCCCAGCCCCAAACTGATGGCAAAGTGGCTGTGGCAGCTACTTTAAGGGACTCAGAAGCTACAAAGTCACTGTAACAGGAGTAAGCGAGGTCTCTTACCCAGGAACTTGTTCTTTTTTGACGTTGGCAACACAAAACCTTGCCATTATGCAGGCTGTGTTTATTTCTAGGTTTTCTCTCTGTATTTTAGCCCTTTCTCCTACTGAAAGAAATAACAGTCCTGTCAGTCACAGAGCAATTGATAGTGATAAAAATTCTCTTTTTAGACAGTGAGTTCACTTGTTCTTAAGTCATTCTTTGCCACAAACTGCAGGCTCATTATACGAGGAAAATGCGGTATCTTGGAGAAGCCACACTCTTAGAAGTTTGTAATTTACCTCGCCTGATGACTAAGGTCTGGAGGTTTTCGCTGCTTATTTGAGTGTGGTTTGGGTGGGGAGGCGATGATAAACAAAGCCTGTCTTACTCATTGGAGCTGGCCTGTGGGAGTTGTGTAGCAATACCTGCTCTTTGGGCAGTACCTTCTGCTTTTAGGGGCTATAGAAATGAAGGGGCCTTCTCACCGCTCCACTGTGACCCCTAGCTCTGAGCAGGTGCTCACTACACATGGTGCACCTCACCCACAATCTATTTTTCCCTTTACTTCCATTCATCTGCTGAGTCTCAGTCAAGACTTTGGTTGTTAGACATCAACTCTTCTTACATGACTGTTGTCAAGAAAAATGGCATTGAAAGTAGGATGCTGAGAGAGATCAGCATCCTCAAGGAAAGACACAAAGTAAACTCCAAGTAGAAGATGACTTGGGAAATGGAGATCAGGATGGATAAGTGAGACTCCTGTCAATCTGCACCCAAGTAAGACCATACAGAGCAGTTCCACCTCACCATCTAATTCACAGATGAAGAAAGCCCTATTCTATTCTATTAGTTTGCCTTCTATTGCTTCTATGTCATAAACAACATGAAGAGAGTCATATGGGAAAGAAAGGATTTATTTCATTGTACAACTCTGGATCACATGCCATCGTTAGGGGAAGTCAGGGCAAATATTCAAAGCAGGAACCTAGGGGCAGAACCTGAAGCACAGACCATGGAGGAATGCTGCTTATTGACTTACTCGCCATGGCTTTCTCAGCCTGCTTTCTCATACAACCCAGCACCATATGCCCAGGAATTTTCTCAGCTGAGCTTCCCTCTTCCCAGATGACGATAGCTTGTGTCAAGCTGATGAAACACTAACCAGCATATGCATCTTTTCTTACTGCCTAGAGCAAGTGCCTCAATCTGTGCCTCCAAGGAATCATTGTGGCACAGAGGACAGGTGTTATATATACAGAGCCCATCTTTGCATGTAGATCACATGGACACCCCCAAATGCTTAGGGACTGCCCCTTTTCTGCTCTCCTTTTCTTGAAGTCAGATATCAGCCAAGAAATTTCACACACAGCTGTATCGACTAGGCTCCTCCACAGCATCCAGAAGGAACTCATGCTGCTGACCACTTGGCTTTACAGTCCCTGATCCTGTAAGATATAAGTCCTGTTGCTTGAGTTGCCCAGTCCCTGGTAAATGCTGACAGCAGCCCCAAGGAACTAACACATTTGCTTTTACAAAAAAAGTGGTGAGACAAGCAGGGCAGGACAAGGGGGATCTTCCAAGTGACCGTCACACTGAAAGAGGTTAGAATGACAGGGTTACTGTCATGGAGTTCAAGCTCAGCAACGACACGGATGGTTGCTGAACTGGAGGCTGTTCTTCCTTGCATAATAAAGTTAAGTTCTAAAATGTTTGAATAGCACAATTATGTATGTATATGCTCTAGTTACATAAACACACAAATAAGAGGGAGTGAGGATAACTGTTTACATACTTACCAAGACAGAGAAATACAGATCTTTGGGCAAACTACTACTCATGAAATACACAAGTAAGTGATTGTTTTAAGAAACCCTCTTCTTTTGAAGCAATAGTTTTCACCTGACAATTTTTATCTTAATGAATATATAAATGTAATATATCCCCTGCTTTCCTTTTCTCCCTCCAATCTTTTCCATGACCCCACTTACTACTTCTTAAATTAAATTGTCTTTATTATTGTTACATACATACATACATACAGACAGACAGACAGACAGACACATACATACATACATACTATAAATACAAACCTCTGAGTCTGTTTAGTGTTGTCTGTATATATTTTATTTGGGGGCAGACCACTTTGCTTTGGATGACCAAGTGGGAGGCTCATCCTTGAGAAAGACTAATTTTTCCTCATTGATAAGTCATTAGTTGCCTATAGTTCTTTGTTTAGAGATAGGGCCTCTGGAGATTTCTCCCTTCCATGCTACCATGTCTACTGTATTACCATTCATTATTAAGGTCTTGTTTAGACAGCCATGTTGTTGGAATATGTTGTTGCTTTACCTTTTCCCTTCATTTCAGACTTGGATTTTAATTTTAAACAGTTTCCTTTTTCATTTTTGGCAAGAGTATTATTGGCTGAAACATTTTTCATAATCCATTCGTCAGAAGACAATTACAAAACCCTTCTTTAGTTCTTACTGAGCATATATAATTCAGAGGTTGAAAAATAAAAGAACTATAATGATCTAGAACTGTGCCATCCAATATGCTAGCCAATGGTCACAGGTGTTAAATTGGTTTCTATCAAATATTAGACACCCCAATCTCACCATCAAGTGCTCATTGTTCACATATGACTAGTAGCAGCCACACTGAACAGCACCAAGATATTGGACACCACACAGTGGAAGTCGGTGGTCATCAAAAGTCAAGAAACAACTCAGGGAAACCCTGACTTCGCAGCCTTAACAGAGTCTCCAGGAGCTGGTAATGAGGAAGAGTCTCAGCCACTAGCCACTGAAACATCAGAAGACAAAGCTAGAGAATTATATATTTCCATTTACACAAAATATCCAGGGTAGTCAAAGCCAAAGAGAGTGAAAGTACATGAGACGTTTCCATGGGCTGGAAGAAGAATGAGTAACACCTGCTAATACAGGTTTCCTTGAAAGTGATGACCCACACTGCAATAACCAACTTGGTAAAGGTTGCCCTGCTTTGTAAATATGCTAAAACACGGTAGGACATGACTTTTAAAGTATGTGTTATGGTCAATATTAACAGTCAACTTTATAGCATTTGGAATCACCATGGAAACAAATTTCTGGGTACATCATCAAAAAATATCTCACAATTAGGTAATAAAGGTAGAAAGACCTATCTTAAATGTGAGCAGTACCATTGCATGGGGTAGGAGTGGGGGGTTCCAAACCAAATATAAAGGAGAAATGGACCTGTCCATAAGGATTCATCTCTCTCTCTCTCTCTCTCTCTCTCTCTCTCTCTCTCTCTCTCTCTCTCTCTCTCTCTCTCTAAATGTAATTTTAAAAGAGAACATCTAAACTGAGGAAACCATAGAAGGGGATCCCTGCTCAAAACAATTCCCTAGGAAAGTGTTTCCCCAGCATCAGCACACAAGAGCCAATGTAACTATGGTCCAAGAAGGCAGGCTCCATCTCAAGCTGACTGCAGAACACTGTAGCATTGGTTTGGAAGTCATGAAGTTTGACACTATTTGTCCAAAGAGTGCTCAAGCCAGGCAATGTATGGCATGGTTGGTGCCCCTTTGTGACCACTACATAAAGCTTTGAAGGAAAAGCCTGGGTGGCAATGCGGACTTGGGGTTTAGAAGACACCAGAACCATGGGACAAAACTGCTGATATGGAAGAGAGCTGACCCATGACAGTGGCTATGTGTGCTGCGGGCAGCAGGGCTGGAGAGTAGGTGTACCTAAGCCCTTCGCCCTCACAAGCCCCCCAGATGGACATGGAATTGTAGAGCAGGAGTTTGGTTTTAGAGTCAAATTACCTTTTTAGTCTTTGGATTAGAATATTTGTTCTACGCTATCACATGTTGAACATATGCAACTTGTTTTAAGAGACTGCCTTGAGTTTCAGCTAAGACTTAGAATTTGGCCTTTTAAATAATGTTTAAATTGTTTAAAAGACTATGGGGATATTTGAAGTCTGCTTGAACGCATTTGAAATTGCCATGAGCCTATGAGGACAAGGGGTAGAATTTATGGGTTAAAAAATAATTTACTTGGGTGTTGGGTTGACAAGGGGTAGAGAAGATGGTTAATCTTAATGGCATTTAGAATCACCATGGAAACAAATTTCTACTCATACCTGTAGGGGATCATCTAGGTTAGGCTGATTGAGGTGAAGATCCATCATAAATGTGAGCCGTTCCATTCCATGGACTTGGATACCCACTCTGAATAAAAAGAGAAAACAAGTTGATTGCAAGCATTCATCTGTCTGTGTGTCCTGAGTATGGACATAATGTGACCATCTGCCTCCTGTTCCTGCTGCCATGACTTCTATGCCATTATGGACTACATGCCCTGGAACTATAATTTCTTAGTTGCATTTTGTCAAATATTTTGTAACACTAATAATGAGTTAGTAACACAGCACATTAATTATAGTTCAATATATCATATAAAACAATTTTAAAGGATAGCATAAGTGCTAGAAACAGAGAAGTAAAATGATGCTTAGTAGGCTAGACAGATACCCTGCCACTCTGTTTGTTTCTTTGGGGTTTCATTTCATTCTCTGTAAGTAGATACCACTGCTGTTTATCAATTCTTTATTTCAAAACACATGCTGAGCTCATTTCTCTCTGCCCTTGAATTAGTCTGCTCAGGCTTCCATAACAAAGTGTCATGGATATGTGCCTTAGACAACTGAAATTTACACTCTCACATTTGTGGAAGCTGGAATTGAAGAGACACGGTTTGTTTCTGGGATTAGATCTCTTCCAAGCTTACCCTTGCATGATCACTGACTTCTGGTATCTTTCCCTATTTCTAAGACTTAATTACTTAATGTCCCCTGATTAGGAAAGCCTCCATAACAAACATTTTTATCTTACTTAAGTATCTTTGCATGTATAATTTCAAATTTTTTATACGTTTCAGATTTAAATTTTAATTATTTCCCGAGTCTCTATAATGAAATGTTAATCATCTCTCCAATCATCTTTCTATGCTTATGATTTTATCGTTTTGGATTAGTTCCTCATGTTATATCCCCAAATGGATTTAATCACCCATCCCTTTTATAAAAATTGATCTGATAACCTTCACTCTGTTACCTGCATTATATAAATGTACATGCAATATCACATCTTCACAAGTATTGGATGGTATTATTAAAGGAATATATTGTCCTTACCTCAGTACAGTCATTAGAAAACATCCTTTTAAACAGACCTAATATACTAAAAGATTTGCCTAAAGCACGAGTAAAAGGTGAACACTGGATTTTGGACAACAGACCCTTGAAGTACAATGAAACTTGTACTCAATATTCAGTAGAATGTTTGTCTCTGCCAGTAGGCAGGTGTGAGCATTGGGATTTAATATTAACTGACGAAAGTAGATAGAATATGAATTCTATAAAGGGAAAGACTGGCAGAGGGATTGCTTTTCTTCCTGGGCTTTTCACACAAGTCAATTACTTGATGAGCTTAACATTGCTGGTAGGATTCAGTATGGAGGTTTCAAAAAACAAATAAACAACAAAAACCCACAAACAGACCTACCAGATCCAGCAATAACATCCCTGATATTTACCAGGAGGACACTAACTCATCACAGATACTGTTTGCTTTAGCAGTATTTACAATACTAACATTATAGAACAAACCTATGTGTTCACGATCAGAGAAGTGGATAAGGAGAATGCAGTATATATACACAATGGAATCCTTTTCAGCCATAAAGAATGAAGGTATGTCATTTGTGGATGTTGGTGTGGCTCAGTTGTAGCATGCTTGCTTCTATGCAGTAGGTCATGGGTTCTAGCTCTATCATGGGGTTAGAGAGAGAAGCTAAAATTTGACAAATGTTGCATACTAGGAATGTAGCCAAGAGCTATGTATACAGTACTTAAGAAACTTTTAGAAACTTTAACAATGTTGTGATGTGCACACTATTATGAGCCTCGTACCATGACTACCAGGTGCAAGAGGTGAGGAGACCCTCTAGTAACATCACTGGTATTCTTAGAACTGACTCAGAGCCTATGTCTGTGCCTTTGACTCTACTTGATGGATTTTCATGAAGGGAATGTTACCTGCATGTCATTTTCCCTCCCCATGTACTCAGAGAATAGCCTGTTCTTGTTTCTATACCATACACTGCTTCTCTTCCACACATTCCCTTGCAGAAGTCATTCTGAGAGTAAGGCTTTCTGACTGTTCATCTTACTCCTTGTGTATCCAGCTTCTTAAAAATCTTCCAATTTACAGGCAAGAAATACAGGTGTCCTAGAAAAGGGAGAACTGCGGAAGGGAGAGAACATGAAACAAAACTGAACTGGAGAAGAGATAAAATGACGAGATGCCGTGTCCTCAGCACATTCAATCAATGGCTCAGAGAAAACTGTTAGGAGCTCTGATGGGACAGTGGGTGTTGAAACAGCAGATCTCCAATTATACTTAAGTGGTCACTCAGCCTCTAGTTCCTGCTTTATGTCATAGATGTGTCTGTTTCCCTTTGGGATAGAGACACATGAATACCACTGTTGAATAGGCACCGTGGGGTCAAGCCTGGTGCACTAGCTAAAGCATGTGCCCACTAATTTCCCACAATGACTCTGGGACTTGTGCCTTTATACCTCCCACAGAGCAAGCTCACAGGCCAAGTTGCCCAATACCTGTTTTTATATGGCACATGTGCTAAGAACTATCATTATATGCTTAAGTGGTAACAAAGAATATTGTGTGACATGAGAATTAGGCCTAATTCTAATTTGGTATCTATAAAGTTTTATTGAAAGATGACTTTGTCCATTTATTTGCATGTGATCTCCAGTTTATTTCACTTTGGTGACTGTGTCTGTATAGCTTGAAAAGCTGAAAATATACTACCTTTTTATATAGAAGTTGAAACTACCCCCTTGTCTTAGCCCATTTATATAGAGGGTACCCAAGTCAGTAATTTATAAAGGAAAGAAGGAAGTTTCTTTGGGATCATAGTTCTGAAGGCTTGGAATTCCAAAATCAAGACCCATATCTGGTGATAGTTTTCTACTGCTTCACAGTGTGCAGATGTTAAAAGAGCAAATGGGTAGAGGAGGCTGAGATATCACAAGGAACAGCCTTGCTTTATTGCAATCTATTGCCACAAAACAGCACACCAGTGAGAAAGCATTGATATCTCCTAATGAGCTAATCATCTCCCAAAGGAGAGTCCAATCAAATATCAATGATGGTCTCACAGGAGACCAACCATGTCCCCAATCACAGCACCCCAGATATGAACACAGATTACAAGACGCAGAGAGACTGAAATTTCCACTTACTTATGAGGATCCAAAAGAGACTGTTGAGCAAGATGCTCCTAGAGTATCCATACTACTGCTTCTGGGAAGAAGAGGTAGTTAATGTCATTGGCTTCCATGTCATTTTGGTCTGTGCTGAGGATAACTGACAGTGAGAACATACTTCTTCTATCCTTCTAATGTGTACCCTTCAAATCCCAACTGCTCTGCTAATCCCACCCTCTAGAAAATGCAAGGCTTCCCAAAGAAATGAGATTCAGGAAAGCCTTTTTTGTTTTACTGAGTTGCTGTAGCTCCTGGCTCTTTTATGGTATAATTGGAAGCATGAAAATGCCAGGAAGGCACAAGGCTCATAGAAGCATTAAGTGAAATAAACTCTTAAACTATCCTAAGTAAAAGGCAAGTTAAAGCCACATTTTCTTTTCAATATAAAACACAAATTTAATGCCAATATACAGGTATGTAAAATTCTTCCTGGTTTCCTTGAAACCTCCAAGTAATAACACTCCAGAGAGGCTGAACTTTTTGGTGTGATAGACAAAGGCTAGGTTTAAAAAAAAAAAAAAAGGAAAGGTCACCAAGAGCTAGAGACTAATCTCCAGATAACATATGGCTCCAGACCAATCTTCTGCAGGGTTATGCCAGAGAAAACTTACTATCATTCATCCACAGATCTCAGTTAAGTGTCCACTCTGTCCCAGCAAGTGCTCACAAGGCACAAAGAAGACAGACAAGGCACCTGCTCTTCAGCATCATGCAGGAGAGAAGCTGTAAGTAGAAAATCCATTACAGTTGGTGATGAGTCTGTGAGGCAAACACAAAACGTGGCAAAGATTAGTAGACTTGCACTGAGTGACCGAAGAAGGTTCTCTGAGTAGCGCTTTGAAGGAAAGAAAGTGTACTTCAAAGGAACGGATTCCAAACAAAGGGAAGAGTGATGGGGAAAGACTCAGTATAGATTAGGGAGTGTCTGAGAAACAGAAGAGATAAGACAGTTCTAGAGCTGGTTTGGGGCAGAAGGAAGAAGTCAGAGGAGGTGAGACAATTGAGATCAAAGGTCCATTGATCAAATTTCATTTTGGGGAAGAGGTGGTAGGTGGGACAGTGTCTCCCAAAAGATAGAATAGGAGCTTTTCAGTGTGTCAGAATCTTCTCCCTCCCTCCCTCCCTCCCTCCCTCCTTTCCCCCCCCTCTCTCTCTCTTCCTCTCTCTTTCTCTGGTGAGAGGGTGAAAGACCATTTCTCTGTGTAACAGGCCTGTCCTGGAATTTGCTTTGTAAGCCAGGCTGGCCTCGAACTCACAGAGATCCGCCTATCTCTGGAGTGCTGGGATTAAAAAAGTGTGCCACCACACTAGGCAGTGTGATGGTGGGAGGTCTTTTAAGAGTATCTATCATTAAACTGAGATGAAGGCCTATTGCAATATAATGGGTTCTAATCTAATGGCTAGTGTTCTTAAAAAGAGAGAGTACACAACAGATTTTCACAGGGAGGCGTGCTATGGAACAATAGAAGCAGAGATAAGGGTGATGCAGCTACACATCACAGAATGTCAAGTGTTTGCACAACCACTAGAAACTGGGAGAGACAGAGAAGGCTCTGTATAGGAACATGGCCATGAAGATTCCTTGATTTGAGACTCACACAGGACACCTCAAAAAAAAATTGCTGTTGTTTTAAGATACCTAGTTTGTGTGAGGGCTGTCCCTTGCCATCTGTGAGGCACTGGTTCCAGGACCCCTGTAGATTCCAGAATCTAAAAGTGCTCAATCCTTAGTACAAAATGGTATGGTCTTTATACCAAATGGCATTTTCATATGACACATCCACATCCTCCTGTGAACTTTAAGTCACCTCTAAATTCTTCATAAAACTCAATACAATGAGTAAAATATATAAATAATTCGTATCTTTTGGGGGTTATAATAAAAAATAAATCTGTCTATACCCAGTATAAATGCAAACATGGTAGACAAGATGAATTTTCTGTCTTTCACCAGAATGCTCTATAGACAGCAAATTTAAGTTCTGACTTTTGAAACTTTGCACAATTTGAGCCAACAAAATGGTTTTGTTTGCACACAGGCATTTACAACCAAGTCTGATGACCTGAGTTCACTTCCCTGGAAACTACATGGTAGAAAGGGAGAACTGGCTTCTACAGGTTGTCCTCTGATCTCCACACATGCAGCCTGGCACCTGCACATTTGCACACACACAATCAATCAATCAATAAAAGAAAATTTCTAATATTAGTTGTAAAATATTTCTAAGCCACAATAGTTCAATCTGTAGGCATACAATCTGTCGTTACAAAGGGCATACTATAATTTATTGTCTTATCCCCTAAGAAACTAACACACATAAGCCATCCTCAAGGGTTTAAACAGAAGTGTGTATGGCTGAAACTGTGGATTGACTGCAAGGGATAGGAGTATAGCTTAGTGGTAAGATCTTTGCCTCGCACGCACAAGAGCTATAAGCTTGATCACCCTCCCTGAAAATAAACAAATAAACAGGAACTAAAGAACAGCCAGTACTATAGAAGAGAGGTGGCAGTAAGCAGCGCTAGGGAGCTGGACTCCCATTTTGAGGCTGAGCACCTGCAGTGACAGCCAAGCATGATGTAAGAAACAGCCACACAGTTGGCCCCATCTAAGTGCCTGGAGGACTCAGGTGAAGGCAGCCTATTATAACTGCAATCCCTGACATAACAGACATCCTTTGGCTAGTCATCCAATATATGGCTCCCCGGAGAAGAACTGCCCAAGGGAAGACTTAATGTTTTTTTCCATTTTTTTTCTGCATCCATAACTATTTTTACAGAAGGACTTGTATAGAGCTAACTACCCTATGACTGCTGAGTGATGTGGATGGAGTGAACTGAGAAGGTGAATATATGCTAGAAACAGACTTACCAATGAGCCAAGACTGTTTGCATTTCATTTGTTCCTTCAATTTTGCTGGAATCCATTTACTGCATGTATTAGAAAGTTACAATATTTCACCCTGAAATGTACCAGTGGTCAAGAATCACTCTACCTCCCACGCAGGATGAGAAAATTTTGATTCTCCTGACTTGGAATGGGTGACAACTCTAACCAAATAACAACCATGGAGCCAACCACTGTTCCTTCACATTTGAAAATGGGGCTACCTGGCTACCTTCATAGCAGAGAGCAGCAGATCTTCCCACCAGGCTGCTATACCATTCTTTCTTCAATAATAAAAATTTTAACGCTACCATTATGGTCATGATGGAGAGATTTACAGATGTTTCGATGAAACTCTTCATTTGGACTTTATGCAGCAAAGTACATATTGACTTTGTGTCACTGAAAACACTAAGATTTATTATTCCTGAAGATAAGTAATAACCTTGACTTTGACTTGGTCAATATTTATCTCACAAGTCGATAAATCTCCAGCAATAAATTTCAACAAAAGCCAACACTTTCTGATACAGGGCTATATTTTGCAGAGGCCCCCAAATTTCTCTGTTCTTTCTCACAGAGAGAGTAGTCAAACCTGAGAAAGTAGTCTCAGACATATTTTATTTTTAGTGAGTTCAGTCCCATTATGACAGCAGAGTTTTATCCAAATAACTTAATGTGGGTGGGAAAATTACAGACTCTGGATCTTTTTGTCTTCCTTTCAATAGTTGAACCAATGAATCTTCTCCTCAGTCCAGGTCTTTCTAAAGCTGATCCCAATGCTAACATCAGACATTGGCCAGAACAGGCTAGGGGACAGGCCTGTCTGCAAATAAAGGTGATATGTGATACTGGTCATTTGTGTGCCTGTCAGTGAAGGCATTATCTAAGCTGCCCTATTATAGTTTAACAGTGAGTGACCTCATACTAACTTCGCAGAAGCTCAAAATCTCTTTTTAGTGTTTGTTGGTCAAATAGTCTGTCACCTTTTAAAACGACAGTGCATGTGTGAGCAGCCAAAGCGGTTTTCCCATCTAGCGGGACGTGACATGATGCTGGCAACCCCAGATGACTCATCCTCTTCAAAGGCCTTTTCCTGTTTGATGTTACAGGCAGTCCCCTTCTATCACAATCTTTGGGGTCTGTGTTCTAGTTTTGGGGGAAAAAAAGCTGATACTGGATAATTTATTTAAAAAACAAAACAGGGAACCACTGCCTTTGCTTCATGGTTGTAGAGGTCAGGAAACACAAAAGCATGGTCCTGGGATCTGCTCTGCTGCTGGGGATAGCCTTCCTGCTGTATCATAATGTAATAGATGGCACACCATGGAAAGACAGAGCAAGGATGCCACCTTGGTCTCTCTCTCTCTCATTTTTATAAAGTAACTAAAGACTTTATAAAACTGCACCCTGGCAACTTCTGATGCGCATTGCCTCCTAAGCACCCCAATTCCAAACACATGAACACATGAAATTGAAGACTAAGCTTACAACACTTTACATTGGGGGACATATTCAAGCCACAGCAGTAGGCTGACAGTTTATCAGCATGTATGCACCAACACTTCTGACTAACGGTACCTCTTCTCCTGTAAGGAGTGAACACGGTGACACACTTACTTCACCTGAGAACGTGGGAGCTGATTCACAGAGAAAATTCTTTCATTTGAGTGTATAGTAGCCTCTTTCCTGCCTATCAAAGACCCCTTCCAACATGGTGACAGATAAATCTGTTAAGGTCCTTAACACCTGAAAATTCCTACTCAATTAAAATTTTAGGAAGGTAATATTTAGCTGCATTATATGTAGATTTTCACCTACCAGGCAGGTTTTATTGCTGCTATTTATTTGATTGTGCTGTGTTTTATTTGAGACCAGGTTTATTTACTCAACTTATTTATTCAGTAAAACTTCTAGAGAGCTAAATCACAGATGAAATATTCTGAAAAATCTAATATATACTTTTACATTATGTCAAAATGATCCAGTCAATCAAATTAGTAACCTCCCAATAAAAGAATACTGTGTTTTTAGTATTTATATTTAGATGATGTTACATATCAAAGTAAGGATTTTGGAGCCAGACTGTCTAGAGTTGAATCCAACCTCTCCTACATACTAACTGTCACTTTTGGCAAAGTAATTATCTCTTTGTGCATATTTCCTCACAAGTTACACGAGATCTCTAGTTGTAGACAACTCATAAGATTGTAGAGACAAGTAACACTGTTATGAGAATGAATCTATTTAATATTTGAAATGTACGTGGAATAGTATCTGGCTTTCGGTAAGTGATAGCATTTTTTGTTGAGAGTGAGATTTTTAAAGCATATACCCTCAATTGCTTTGTGTATATTAGTAATTCTAATTATAACAATTTCTAAGACATATATTATTTTACAAATTAAAAAAAATAAACAGACCCAGGAGATCAAGTGATTTGCCTGAGGTATTTAGTAAGTCCTAAGAACTTGTCTTCAGAATCAGAACTCTTGACATAAAAATGCTGGTAGGACTTTTATGGTAACATTCTGAGATGCAAATAACACTTATACCGAGCACTCCCTGCATGTCTTCCATTTCCACATGCATTACTGCATATGTGAGTTTGTTCCTATTTCATGGCAGGGAACTGGGTTATCAGGACACTGAATGCTCCTTGTTCATCTCAGACTTAAAGTTTTATTTTGCTAGTTTTAAGTGTGTACAGGTGAATAGTGTATGTAGAAGCCAAAACAGGGTATTGGGTCCCCTGGAGCTGCAATTACAGGTAGTTGTGAGCCACTTACTGCCTGTATTGGGAAATAAACCCAGATTCAATGCAAGAGCAGCAAGTACTCATAGCTGCTGAGGCATCTTTCTAGCCCTTAGTCCAAGGTTTACATCTGTCTTTTGAGATTGAAATTGCTCACTTCCTATCCCTCAAACACAACCACTTGTGACTATAAACTCTGAGTGGCTTTACATTGCTATTCTAACACATCCTAGCTTTTCAGTTTGACATTTTCTAGGCCTTTGGGGAAGCTGAAATAATACAACAGCTAATATCTAAATATCTTTCAACTGATTTCAACAATCATTTTTTATTTTTTCTGTTTGAAAGTTGTTTTATTTAAAATCCATGAAAAAGGAAACAGATATATCTACATTGTGATTATAAAAATATAGTCATTTACATGACAAATGCAGATATAAATTCATGTAAGGAACAGTGTTTCTTTTATAGTTTTAGAATTTTAAGACATACTACAAAAAGCAAAGTAGTTAAAGTATGAGGGACAAGATGGACAGACAGAAGTCAATGGTCTTCTGACTCTATGACCTGGCTGGGAAGCAGGAGCCCAGGTGAAGCTACAGAGAACCTAGATTGCTGGGCTAGGAAGGACCAGAGTCACAAGGGTTCACTGACCAGCCTGCTCTGTGGAAAAGTAAACTGTTTAATGCTTATGACAGTAGGTAGTTTCACAACCTGAAGTAAAATTTTAGCTTGTCTCGAGTTTCCTCTTTCCCATTCAACAATTATTTTTAATCTAAAAACTTTAAAACATACAGAAATGTCACCAAGAAGTACTACATGATATGAAGAAGGTTGCTTTCCAGTGACACAGGGTATAATACAGAATAAGATCTAGCTATGATGGACACATATGCATCAAATAATAAGGAATCAAATTTACAAAGTGTGTTATAGAGGCTATCATATGGACAAACAAAACCACATCAGAAGTGTAAGACTTGAAGCCGCTGCTTTCTATTCATTAAAAAAAAAACAAAAAAAAACAAGTAACCATATAAAACACACATAAAATCAAAACAAGGGTGATATGGGAGGAGTAAGAGTTCAGAAACAAATAGAGTCTCTTATAATAGATCAGTACTTATCCCTAGCATAGGAATGGACTTTGGGAGCCCATTCCACATAGAGGGATACTCCCTGAGCCTAGACACATGGGGGAGGGCCTAGGCCCTATCCCAAAGGTTATGACAGACTCTGAAGACCCCCTATGAAAGGCCTCACTCTCCCTGGGGAGCAGAAAGGGTATAGGATAGGTAGGGTGTTGGGGTGGCAGGGGAGGAGGGGAGGGAGAGGGAACTGGGATTGACATGTAAAACAATCTTGTTTCTAATTCAAATTTTTAAAAATGGAGAAAAAAAGGAGTCCAGAGACAAGTCTTGGCTACATAGTGAATTTGAGGCCTAAATCTGAGCTACAAAGTGAAATTCTGTCTCAGAAGATGGGGGAGGAGCTTAAAGGAGCAGTAGGGAACAGGAGCCAGGGCAGGGGCTGATCTAGTGAGGGGAAGTAAGAGATTAGGGAAGATGAGCTCAGCAGATAGTGCTTTCTCGTGGCACCTACAGGACAAGAGATCTAAACTGTTGGGTAAGTAACAACACAAAAATACAAATTTACTTCAGAAAAACATGAGCAGAAAGTCCCTTTCCTCTCATCAAAGCAGTCTCTGTTTGTGTGACCAGTGTCACATGCCTTGTCTTTAGAAGTTATGTAGATCGATGATGGGCAGAGGAGAGGGGGCCAGAGAGCACAGCCCAGCTGTAGACTGCATGGGCATTTCTAAGCATAGAACAGACCAAACAGCAATCACTCAGAGACCATACTTCATTCAAAGGACAACAGAGTTTGTCCCCTGACAAACATCCCTAGCCAAGGTCTAGTACTGAGAGATGGTGTACCGCATCAGGTGGAGAAGACACTCATGAGGCATGACAGTGTCCATGGTACAACTGTGTAAGAACTTGAATGTGCCACACCTTGAACAGGTTAACTCTACACCACTCTAGCTCCTATTTCTAAATCAGAGATTTGTTTGTACATTCTGAAGCAAAGCCCAACACTGTTAGACATGTTCAAATAAGATTTAAGTCAAATAGTATCTTCTGCTTTCAGAGTTAATGATTTTCAAGAGTTCTGCTGCTCCTTGCCTTTTCTAAGCCTCAAGCATTCATGATGTTGATCGTCTGCTTCACATGGATGAGGAAGTTGGACATCTTTAGCTGTCTGTCTAGATGGCATCATCATGGCTAAAGGACATGAGGAAGAGTTAATGCCCTGCCACATACAAACCTCCACTACTGGGCTGCTGAGTATGTTGGGGGGAGCATTAGTTACTTTTCTGATACTGTGTTAGAATACTGTGACAAAGGTAGCTTCCTGGAGAAAGGGTTTACTTTGGCTCACAGTTCCAGACAGGGTATAGTCCATTGTAGCAGGGAAGGCATGCCAGCAGGAGCGTGAGGTTAGCTTGGCAGCCAGGAAGCAGAGTGAACACATTCATCCACAAACAGGAAGCAGAGATTAGAGAATATGAAGTAGAGGTAGATAAAAAAAGGCAAAGCCCAGTGATGTACTTTTCCCAGAAATACTACAACAGTTCAGTAACTTTCCCAGTGTCACCAGCTGGGGACTAAGAGTTAAAGTATGACTTCTGATGGACATTTCATATTTAAACTATGATAAACAATATGCCAAGAAGAGCTAGACATCACCACACAAGTCCTGTATCTGCCACCATAAATAACAACAAAGGGCTCTCACCTATCTCTTTTGCATCTCTATGGCCTAGCCAGTGCTCTAATATCCCAGCAAGGACTTGAGAGAAGATGCCACCTTGAGCATCAATGACTGACACTGGCTGGCCATGCTTCCTCCATGGAGGAGAGGTTGTCAATTCCTCTTTAAGATGGAAATGACATCTTTAGTCCATGTACCAGGCAACTCAAACTATACACTTGTTTGTAATGAGGAGCAGCAGCTGCCACCACCTTTGGGTCAGAAACACACAATCCAGAAGCACTGAAATGAAGACAAAACTCTCCAGAGAACTGCATGTTTAAGGAAAATAATTTCCAGAAATTTAACCAAGTGAACATTTTTTTCTGACATTAAATCATCAAGGCAGTGAGCAGCAGCAGCCACGGCACAAAGGGAACCTGTATCCCACAGCCAGGGATGAGGAGCTTCAGATTCAATAACAGACTTGGGAACGCTAAGAGTTTTTCTTTTCTTTTTTTCTAAAAATACACTGAAAGCTAATTGATTGCCCATTTCTGAACAAATAAAAATGTTACACAGGTTAAAATGTATTTAAAAGTAAGAGTGTGACAACAGAGCAAAGGCCAGGAGGGGGAAAGTTCATGGCTGCAGTCTTGGTTATCTGCACAAAGTGGGACAGTACTCCACAGTATCACACATCACACATATCTACTTCCAGGAAGAGGAACCAGCCTGAAACCATGATGCCCTGTGTTGTCTTGGGAGACTCGGGGAAACAAGCTTAGCATCTCTGAACCAGATTTTACTCATCTATAAATTTGTATCTTAGTTTTTTTTTTTTTTTTGAGAGGGGGGCAGTTGCTTGTTTCTTTTTGTGCTATAACAAAATGTTAGAGTCTAGTTACTTACAAAGAATAGTTTATCTGTCTCATGGGTGTGGAGGGGAAATCCAAAAGCAGGATGCTAGGATATACACAGGGCTTTCTTATTCCATAACAGGACAGAAGGTGTCACACAGCAAGAGAGCACATGTGCTAGCTGAGGTCTTTTCTTCTTAAAAGGTCCCTGATGCCATCATGAGATTCCCACTTTCATGAACTCAAGTAATCCTGACTGCTTATGAATTTAGTTCCCTTTCTGTGGCTGTGAGAAAAGCAACTTGGGGGGAAATGGCTTATTGTAACTCACAGTTTAAGTTGCAAACCATCACAGCAGGGAAGCCATAGTAGCAGGAGTTTGAAGCAGCAGGTCACATCACATACACCTGGAGGAAACAGATGATGGTAAATGAGGGTAAACTAGTGTTCAGCTTGCTCTCTCCATTTCATACAGCCTGGATTCCCTGCCAGGGAACTGTCCTACCAACAATGCAGATAAGGATTCCCACAGCAATTAACATAATCAAGATAATCTCCCATAGGCATGACCAGAGGCCCATTTCCCAGATAATTCCAGATCCCACCAAGTTGACAATTACTGCTAATCATCACACCTATTGTGATAGCTAATCTTGATTGTCAAATTGAGTGGACCTGCTCCAATCATCCAGGAAATATATGTGTGGGCATGTGAGTGAGGAGATTTCCAGAAAATGAACTGAGAGGAAAAGACCCCCTTCAGAGTAAGTGACACCTTCCAACCTGTGGCTCCCACATAATCAGCACTGCCTGCATGCCTGCCGCCTTCTTCCTGAGCATCTTTCTCTGTTGCTGTCACTGTCGTTCTCTGCTGACATCAGATACCATCTCCTTTGGCTTTCCAGAATGCACAGAAGAAGACCAATGATTCTCCAGGAGTTTCCAAGGACTTCGGTGCCAGGTTAGAACTGCAAAGGCATTCAGTTAGCTCCCTGGGCTGAGTGCCTGCTGGATTCTCAAGCCCTCAGTATACAGACAATTGTTGGACCACCCAGACCTCTAGTGTTAAGCCAGTCTAACAAGTCCTCGTTCCCTCTTTTGTTAGACTCATAGACACACACACATATAGATATTTGTATTTATCATATACATATACACATATATGTATACACACACACACAAACATACACACACAAAAAAAAAAAAAAAAAAAAAAAAAAACTGCCTTTCTGAGCCAGTCACCTGAGGAACGTGTTTTTTTAAGGTATTCTCAAATAATGCTGGTCCTGCTGTTTGGGGGAATACTGCTCTGAAAAAAAAACTTACTTAAGAAGTGCAGTTCTCTCTAGATAATTTTTTTCATTTTGCCTCTGTCTGATACACCTATCAAAGGTCTCTATTAAATCATTAATGTGGCCATAAAATTAAAATCATAGCAACTAGTAAATATTTTTTTTACATTGTTACTCAAATTGTGGTCAATGAAACTTTAAAAATTTTTCAAATTCAGGCTCTACCTCAAAGCTACTAAATCAGAATTTTCATTTTGGAAGCTTTCTATATAACACATAAGATCTATAATTATTATAAAGGTCTAGAATCAACTGGGTAAAGAGTTCACAGAATGCATAAGCAGGCAGGAACATTTTGTTGATGTTTTAGACACGATCATACTATGTAGCCTATTCTGTTCTTGAACTTGCTATATATCAGAGGATAACCTTAAACTCCCACTCCTCTGAGAACAGCCTTCTAAATGCTGGAATTACAGGAAAAGGCCACCACACCTGGCCTGAGCAGGCACTTTAAAACAAAAACAAAAAACCACTGAATGCAGTGTTAATATAAAATATTTCATAAGAACCAAGAAAAAGAAACTGCTTCTTCTTTATCATTATAGCTTATAATTATCAAAATGAAATAGTTTCATTTTATTATTTTTGATAAAACTGTAAGGCATCAGGATTTATGTAAACATGTTATTTAACATTAAAAAAGTTTATATTTCGCTCCCGTTTTCTAAAACATCAGAAATCCCAACCAGTAGTATGTGCCCTTCAGATATTAAAAATCTTGCAATAAAATGAGAATCCAGTCAGTAACATCCTTGCTTTCCCAAATCCATAGTCAAAAGAAGTTGGCTCCTCGCTGCCGCAGGTTATTCTACTGAGAGACATTTCAACCTGAAATTGCTGTGATCCAGGCCAGGTGGGTGTAAGTCCTTCTAAGCTTGAGCAAGACTAAGAAAAAGAAGCAGGAACCATGGTAGCACCTTCCACTGGTAGGGAGACTAGAGTGGGGGTAAGAGGACTTCCGACAACTCCTGATTGCAAGATATACCAGTTGCTTCTCTCATCTAGGATACAGAGGTCAGCCCAGCTTGGTGACGAGGTAAGGCTGGTTTATGTTTATTGTTTGTTTTATCATTGTAGAGCACTCCGAGGACTTTGTTCCTTTCTCGTGTTAAAGGTAGAACAAATGTATACAGGTCGGCTGAGAAGAAGCACTCACTAGTCAGATGTCGTTCTGAACCAAGGGCCAAGAATTTCTTGGAATGTGGGGTTGAGGCCATGGGCTTCCCATTGCAATGTCCCAAATGATGTACTGATAAGTGATTTGGCCTTGGTAACATACTGCAAGTTGACTCTTTGGGGCTGGATCTTTATTTGTGTGCTCTTCTGGGGCCTCTGGCTAGAACTTGCTTGTCTGCAGGGGTGGTGTTGGGGGCGGATTCTTTGTTTATAGTAATTGCCTAAGGTCAACTGCCTGCCTGAGTTTCTGAGCCAGTCACCTTAGGAACGTGATTCTCTAAGGTGTTCTCAAATAATGCTGGCCCTGCTGTTTGAGGAAATACCACTTTGAAAACAACTGATTGAAGAAGTACAGCTAGCCCTCAGAATCTACAGGGGATTTTGAAATCTCCTGACTATAACAAACCTGAAGGTACTAAAGTCATCTAAATAAGATACATATGATCGGTGTACTGCGTCCTCCATACTTTCAGTATATCTAGAAAACTTTTAATAGCCACAGAGACCCAACTGCCTTTACAATTTATAAAGTCTTTCCATGCACTCCTTTTCCCTAAGTCTGAGGAGCTAAACATTTTATGTTTGAACTGGATTTCAACAACACTGTGACTAATATTCAGACTACTGTGAGACAGTGAAAAGAGTGTGGATTATGAGTAGCTCATATTTATTGAGCACAGTTTTTATTCCAGGCACTAGGCAAACATTGGTTCAGAAAAGTTAACCTACCTAAGGTGAATGAATCCGCTGGAAACACAAAGTCATGTTGAGCCCAGGCAGTCTGACTCCCAGGACCATGGTTAGCTTTACACCATGCTGATGATCCTCCTACAAATGACAAACAATGGCTTGACCACAATAAAATGCTTGTCACTCCCTAAATTGTCCTTAACAATGAATCTCAATTTTCAGACTACACTCAGCCCAATTTCCTAAAGTTGCAAGACATAGAGAACCACTCACATGCACCTTGAAAAAAGGTAAACTTTGTGAATGAGCCTGGAAAGCTGCCGGTGGGTGTTCCAGCAGTAATTCTTCCTGTCTCTCATGGGGACACCTCTCTGTGGATCTTGTACCACTCAGCACATTTGCTGAGTGTTCAAGTTCCCACTGCTCATTTACAAGTGAGCTCCTGGTTTTAATTTTCCCAGCACCTTCACTGTAAAGGTGTTGGTATCTCCATACTTCTCAAATGGAGCTTGAAGTCAGAAATGCTCATGCCAAATGACTATTCCCTTAGTCTCTTTTGTTGAGTCCCCATTAGATAGTAATCTTGGGTAACGTGATCCCAACAGCCCAATCACCTACATAAAGGAACGAGGTGTGGTCTCTTCTATAAACCATAGCAAAATAGGTGAAAAATAACTTTGTTCATTAGGTTACTATGACTTTGAAATAATGAGAAAGTTGAAAGATTCCACATGTATCTTGTTCTAGCTAAGTAATATCTATTTTCTTTAAGCCATTGTATAGATGCACCCTGCTTTCTGATGTTTTATTGAGTTCAGTATGTCAAAGGCTTCCAGGGACTTTCCCAATGTGGAGAACTAGGGATCAACATCATTCCTTCAGTAGGGGTTGCTTCAACAAAAAGCCATCTCCTTGGGGGCCAGGATGAATTCCACACCTCATGCTTAAACATGAATAAGACCCTGGATGAAGAACATACCAAGGAGGACTGCTACCAGGGATTGTTCTTGGATTGTTCAGGAAGTGGTAATTCTTGGAGTTGTTCTCTTGGATAGGTGCAGTGTGTTATTCCTTTCCCTCACTTGTAGGTGTGGAGTCCACTCAAGTTAGGGGCTTCATTGTTTGCACAGGTAGGGACATCTCTGGCACTAAGTTAATCATTTGAACCAACTTCATGATTGCAGTTCAAAAGCATTTGAGCTTCCGCTCAATGCCAGACACAGCGCCCGTGTTAGTTTGTAAAGTAAATAAGATTGAATCAAGGTCCCCAGAGCTCAGAGGAGAAGGTAGACACTGAACAGGATTCATTGCACTGCTAATGGCACCAATACAAGAGACCTAGATGCTATGTGGCCAGGCAGGCCCAGTAGTGTCTAGGTTGAACCCTGAGTCTTGTTTTTCAGCCAGTGTTTCTCAGACCAGTATGTCAAGACCCATTCAAGAAGATCACAAGCCCTAGAGTGACTGATTCTGTATACTTGGGTGATTCCTGAGAGTATGCATTTCTAGCAAGCTTGCTAGAGGTGTGGATACATACTTACCTGGCAGGGGAGATCTCATGATCATGAGGGTGATTTTCCTAAGGTGAGGCTCATCCATTGCACTCCAGGGATGCTAACCCATGATTTCTCCAAATGCAGGAAAGTCGGCTGCATAATTTGTGGTAGTAGAGAGTATTTATGCTCTACCACCAAAAAAAAAGAGGTGTGGATGCTGCCAGTCTGTAGAGCACATACTGGGAAACCTTTCTCTACTACTCCATGGCTTGGAACAGTGTGTTCTCTGTCTTGTTCTGGGTTCTACATGGGAAATAAGAAGAAAGAAGCAAGTTGGACCCTCCGATTCATGATGATGAACTTGAAGTAGGTGCAGGGCAGACTGGCACTATGGTCTGATGATTGAAAATGAAAGTCTGGAGTACAGAGAATAGGTTGATGGTAGTTGTCAGTGGATAAGGAAGTGATATGGCTCCAGAGGTAGATAGGGGATAGATAAGGAGGGGATATCCCCACATCTGTCACTCACTCAGTCTCCTTCTCCTTCCCTTCTTTCTTCTTTCTATCCTCTCTCTTTCTCTCTCTATCACATACACACACACACACACACACACACACACACACACACACACACACACACATTCTAATACTCCCTTTTCATTTCTTTCTTTCCTTCCTGCTCTCACAGATACAAATTTTACAATGTGTCTTCTGTAATTTACAATGTTGTTCCTCTAAGCATTCACAACATGTGTATTCTGTGGACTTTGTATGGCACCTACCTTTTTGAAGTTCTTGCAATCTTTCTTTGCTCATGGATAGTGTGATCCTATAGGCATTGCTCCTCCAGGCTGTGTTGGTTCCTGACTAATTCCATAGTCCTCAGTAGAAGGTGTCAGCCTTGTGTCCTGGTAGGGAAAACTAAGCTGAGGTAAGGGGAAGGGTAAGCCAGTTTAGAACCTGATGAAATGATAAAAGAGAAAATATGCATACAAAAGCAGGGTGGAAATCTTGCCCTACAAAGAGTTGGGGTTGGTAGTGCTGTGACTGAACACCTCTGTCTAATGTGGCTCCCAATGAGCCATTTAAAAGATCTTTTCTTCAATATGGACATTTTGAAAGACATACTGGACCACGGACATTTGTTTTGATGAAGGGGAAATCTGTTTTTAATCTCATTATTCCAGTCCCTTCTTTGTACTTGTGAAGATTAATCTTGATTGTCAACTTGGCTGGATTCAGAGACGCCTAGCAAATCAGGAAAGAACATTTCTTGGTGTGCTTCTGAGGACATGTCAGAGATGTTTGACATGTGGGAGAGCAACTGAGGGAGAAAGACCCTCACTAAATGCATGAGGCTCCACCCAATAGACTGAGGGCTAAGATGGAGTGAAAGTAGAAGAAGAAAGAGAGTGAAGTCTACATAGGCTCCATTTGTTCTGAGAAAGTACTTCTACTGTGGCTGCCATAATCCTTGAACATTAGACTCCATCTTCTGAAGAAGCCTTTCCATGAGACTCACATAAGCACATCTTCCAGAAACTTCTGTGTTAGGAAGGGTGGCATCATTGATTTCCCTTGTTCTGAGATCTGCAGCTTCTTGGACTGAGAAACAACCAGGTTCTCTGGCTCACCAGCATGCAGATGGCCCAATCTCCAACCTATCAATAAGCCAATCCAATGAACTCTCTTGAAATTATATACACCATACATATACATACAGTATGTATGTGTGTATACGAACACATACACATGTATATGTATATATGGGTATATGTATATGAATATATATATATATATATATATATATATATATCATACTGATTGTTTCTCTAAAGAACTCTAATACAATTTTCAGTTCTGCTCCCTATGGCTGATGATGTCATGGGCCTTAGAGAAGTACCTAGCTTTCCTAAACCAATATAATGCCCAACTGGATTCTAAATACCAATCTTTATAAGCACAGATAAGTACAGCTCCCACCCATCATCAGAGAAGCTTCTTTTTGCAGAAAACAGGGGATACTATAGAGATCTACAAGTAGTTAAAATGCAGAGAATAAGTGACCGTGAGGTTTCCAGCTTCATATGGGACATCTAAAACATAATTCCTACACACATAAGGCTCAGGGAATTATGTGAAAGAGGGGAAGGAAAGATACAAAGAGCCAGAGAACTAGTATGACTATGGAAGGATAGTGTATCCTAGACATGACAGGAATGTTGCACCCACAATATGGTTGCCTACACAAGATCCACACAAGACCATATAGGTCAATATGTCAACATGGATGGTGGGGAAAATCTCACAAGGCTCCCCCCCAAATGAAATAAAGAGATGCTGGCAAGTAATGTTTGCTGAGAGAAGAACCAGCCTTCTCCAGGGACAAGCCCTCGAAGAGGTTATTCCAATCCCAAGTGGTCAGCCCTAAACAACACAGTTATATATGCATAGCATTAAATGGACTATTTATATAATTACATATATATAGCGTTAAATGGACCTAGTGCAATTTACACTCACATGCATGTGTGTGCATATGTGCATGTGCGTGCACACACACAATCAAAAAAGAAGAGGTCATGAATTTGAGAGGGAGTATGGAGAGCATTGGAGGAGCAAAGAGTGAGATAGTCATGTATGAAATCCTCAACAACAACAACAAAAAGGAACCATGTAGAAAGGAAAAGAAAGAGGTGAGCTATGGCCAGGTCTGACACCCACCACTGGAAGGGGGTATGCATGGAAGCAGTGGGCTGAGGGTGTCCATAGCTAAATTCTATCACCCAATCCCAAAACAGGTGAGGAAGGTAGATGGGGCCAGTAGTCAGATCTTGTCCAATAGGATTAGTGTCATCATAAGACATTAGGAAGGACACTGACCTATAAGGAAGAAAGACCCTGTAGACATGCTCTCAGTAGATGGTCATTTCCAGGCCAAGGAAAAAAGCCACAGGAGGAACCAGCATTGCCTGGCACCCTGACTAATATGTTCAGCCTCTTTCGTTGTGAGAAAATTTGTGTAAGCTACCAAATCTGTGGGATTTTATTAAAAGACTTAAAAGACTTAGGGAGAGACAGATGGTAGGAAAGGCTCATCAGTTATACCTGTGTGTGGACCCCCAATTCAAGAGTAAACTTTGAGGCTTTTTGTCATTGACATGAATGGCCTATAACAGGAAGTCCTAGACTGAGAAGTGGTTTATGAATTGTGGAAGTGGTCAGCCTGCCCTGAGGTTGGGGTGCCTGTGAGGCCATCTATCAAAGATAGTACTGCAGGCAGAGGAAACAGCATGAAACATACAGATGGATGCTTGATATAGAATAATTCGATATTTATATAAAATGAGAGGGTCCCACAGAGAACTCTGGATCAATTCTCACCAGTTAGTAGTATTGGATTAGACAAACCTCAGCATGCCTTCCAGGGACATACTTCTTCTGTGGACACTGCTGAGCTTGTTGGCTGTGCATCCAGTGCTTGTGTAAATGCCTTCAAGTTCATATACTGGTGAAGGCTGAGTAACAGCTAATTAAAGTGTACTATGGTTTAGATGTGGTTCCAGTGTGTCTCCCAAAGGTTTATGCTGGAAGTCTGATTCCTAATGTGACGATATTAAGAGATGATAGACCCTTTAAGGGGCAGGGTCTAGTAGGAGGTAATTAGGTAACTGGTGGCATTGTCCTTAGAAAGGATGAATGCTGTTTACATCCTCTATAGCTTCATGGTACAGGTGAGTTCTCATGAGAGTGGTTTCTTCCTCCTGTTGTCTGGCTTCCTGTCTTGCTGTGTGATCAATTCCGTCCAACCCCACACCCCAAGATTCCATTTGCTATCATGTGACACACCTAAGGAGGCTATTAGCAGAGACTAAATATGGGGTTGTCTAATCCTGAACTGTAAGTTTCCAAAACTGTAAGGCCAACTCTTTGTTTATAAAGTACCTGGGTTCAGGTATTCTGTTACAGCATGCAAGTGCCAGCCAACCTGCAAAATAGTACTGCAAGCTATAGACAGTCAAGGCATGAGGCTGTGAAGGGCATTTCACATTTAAACCATAATAGTCACTAGGACCTGAGAGTGGCTTGGGTGATTCCATTTGGAACTAAGGGTAAACTAAATTCACTTCGGTTCAGGATACAGCCCTACTGTCTCATCAGAGGCTCTATCTTACCACCTAGCCTTGTGTGAAATCTGGGTTAGTCTAAAGAGATGGCTTTGTTTAGGAACATTAACTCTGGCATGTGAACATGGAGCCTTCTGGAAATGGACACTGAAGTTGTGGGGAAATTGAGTGGTCAGTATGGAAGAAGACATAAGGTTCAGGGAAAGCAAGGGATAAAAGGGACATCTCACACCTGTGAAGAGGACCAGACAAAAAGAGAAGTGGTGGGGAGAAGCAAAGAGTCACCAGCAGCATGTGGCCCACCAGGAACATCAAGCTTATGCCACAGGCAGATGCTCCATGATGACCCCTTAATGTCCAAGCCTTAGACACAAAGTTAGACTCTTAGGTAACTTGAGAGAATCATTTCTCCTTGACTCCACTAAAAGGAGGAAAGCAAACTATCAGTGTTCTAGGGGGATATGATTTTTAGAAGGGAAAAAAATACACAGCTTGCCCATGGATGTTTATTGCAATGCTATTCATAGCAGCCATAAACTGGAAATAGGCCAAATGCCCAACAGACAAGCACGTGGAGGGTGCCAATTCATAGAAAGGAGTGCCTGGAGGCAGCAAAACCAAAACAAAACAGGAAACTCACTCCTCTTGTATTGAGATGGAAGCATGCTCATCACAGTATTGGGAAAAGGCCAAAGGTTATATAAATAGTTGACATTTCAAGTATATTTTACCTCTTCCCGTCAACTTGTGAATATGAGGGAAATGTATCTTTCCACGGATGGTTACAAAGAGGTGCTCTGGGCCACATGGAATTGCTTTCTACTTTCTTTCTTTGGAACAAAGCCACCAAGGAGTTCACCCGCTTACTGCTGAACTTGATGTATGTCATCAGGGCTGGATGTTCGCCCCCAGGATGGGTGTGGAGTGCACTTCTGAGATAAAGAGGGGATCAGGCAGCGCAGCTCAAAGCTCACCTTGCAGCCACCCACTCAGCCCTTCAAAGCAGCCGTCAATGGAACAGGGTGAGGATGGGGACAGGGTGTCCTGTACCATGCAGGAGATTCAGGTATGCATTCTTTGGCCATTGTCATCTGACTGATTAAGCTGCTGCTCTGAGTCTCCTATTCCCCAGCAAGAAAGCCACTGAGAGACTCACAGATCAAATTCCCTTCCTGGCAGGGTATTCACAAATAATAATGGTCCTGGAATTTGTCATTGCTCTAACAAAATATCTTATGCTGGGTAATGCATGAAGAAAAGAGAGCCTGTCCCACGATTCTGATTACTAAAAGGTTCAAACAGCATGGAGCAATATTTGGTGAGAGCCCCTGGCTGCATCACACATGAGGTGGTATCTAACAGTGAGAAGGTAGCCAACTCTTCAACTAATCTGCCCCCATTTATATTACTTATTTTGTTCATTGCTCTGAGAAATGCCTGACAGAAACAACTTAAGTGAGAAAAGACTTACTTCTTTCATGACCTCAGAGGGCTCAGTCCATCCTTTTTTCATGACCTCAGAGGGCTCAGTCCATCATGGCAGGCAGTGCATGGCAGAGCAGAGAAGCTCATATCATCACAGGCCAGGAGGTGTAGAATGCGGATATGGATGTCTGCTGGCTTTTCTTCCATCTGGTATTAAGTTTCAACATGAATTTTAATGAGAACAGATCATAATATTCCCCATCACTTACTGACGGATGGTAGGTAGGTACATTGAGAATCACATAGACCTACACTCCATGAATCCCAAGATACTGCCTTAGGAAGTTGGAATTGCCATTTCCCCAGGCCACAGACAAGAAAAAGGCAGAATTGGTACACCACCAAGAGGCTATACAGAAATTGAGCTGACTTGCATGCATGCAGATGATGGTTGTGATAAAACTCCACTGACTAAGAGTACCCGCCACAATGCTAGGATCATATGAGGTGCTTTAGACGGTCACCTGGCCCACTAACTTAGCACTCCCCACATTGTAACTGAGAATTTTTAATGCTTAGTGTCTACAACCATATCCTGGGTGTTCAGGTTGAGCAAGTGTAATGGTTTGGAAGTGGTTTAATGTTTTCATTTATTTATTCATGGGAGGGAGTATAAGGTATACCACAGCATGTATGTGGTGGTCAGAGGAGTACAGCCTTCAGAGTCAGCTTTTTCTTTCTACCATGTGGATGCCAGGGGCTTGAACTCAGGTCACCAGGCTTCACACTGTCTTTATCTGTTGAGTCATATTGCTGGCCCCTTGAAATGATTTAAATGTAGTTTGTCTTCCCAGGGTTGATTTACTGAAGACCTGTTCCTCAATGTGGTGGTATCTGTCCAAGGTAGGACCTAATGGGAAGTCACAAGAAGCCCCAAAGGGATTAAGGTAGTTCTCACCAGTGGGTTCTCACAGAAACAGTAAACATGGTCACGTGAGCTCTCCCCCTTACATTCATTCAAACTGCTATTCTGACACTATTGCTTGAAGTCCTCACAACTAGGCTGAGCTGATGCCACACTGTACCCTTTTTGCTACAGAACGGTGAGCTGATAAACATCTTTTCTCTATAAAGTTACCTAGCCTCAGGAATCCCCTTCCACTAATGGACTCACACAGTTTCACAGTTTGAAACCCATGATTCCCAGTCAGTACAGCTGTTTGGGAAGATGGTGAAGTCTGGTTAATGGAGATGGGTCATGGAAGAAGTTTCTCCCATTCTGCTTCTGTTCTCACTCCCTGCATCCTGATCTGCCATGATGGAAAAAGCAACAATTGCACTCACCCACAGCCTGAGCCATTCTGCCATACATTCTCCGAAACGAAGAAACTAAAAGCCAAAAGAAAACCTTTCTTTATGAAGCTGCTTTTTCAGGAGTTTTGTCACACCTGTGAGGAAAATAACTAATATAAGTAAGAGTAAGTAGCCATGCTTGCTGCTCTGTCTGAATTCCTGATCCATGGTTCTGTGTTATATATGACTTAGTATGAGTGGTTTATGCTGTGTTATATTACTGAATAATTAGGGCACAATCATGTAAAAATAACAAACCCATCAAAATAGCCCCATTAGGTAAGAATTATCCTGAGGAAATTACATCAGTGAGTCTGCAGAATTTGTTCAAGCTCAATTCATAGGAAGCAAAGTCAGAATTTGGACCTATGTCTGTCTGACACCAAAGAACAAAGCCAGGACAGATGATGTAGCCCCAACAGGATCATCTCCATGGTGCCCAGATGAGTTTCCTTCAAAAGTGATGGCCCTGTTGCAGAAGTTTCCAGTGACTCCAAGCAGTTTATGGACAGAGATGGGTAGCTCTTAGAGAAAGCACCTGATAATAGCTGTCTGTGCCAAATGCTCTACAGAGCCCCACAGTCTCCTTGAGCTCTAGACTACTAAATGCCTGGGGTCCCTTGGTGGTCCAGAGGTTCCATGCAGTTCTCCCTGTGAGAGGACTCCTGGAGCACCTTCATTCTGGACGTCACAGTTGCCTACCTAGAAACTTGCTGCAACACCCCTGAGGTCCTGAGAAGAATGTAAATACCTGCATCCTACCTGCTGATCCAAACAGTTGCTCAAAGTCAGCATTTCATCCATGTTTGGCATCTGAAGCTGTTAATTCCAAAGCCAATGATGCTATGTAGTGAAGGCTTTCCCATTGGTTCCACTTTCTTCCCACTTGGCCATCTCTCACTTCCATCAAGGAATCTCTTAGTGATGTAGAGATTCAGCTTGACCTAAAAGTAAACTGAAGGAGACCATTTGTGCTCTGGAAGTCAGTCATGTCTCAGTGATTGGTAACTACCTTTTCTGTAAATGAATCATGTCCTCCTGCTGGATAAGGGCCCTGTCTTCTTTTTGTCTAGGGATTGAATCCATGATCTGAAAACCAATCCATAAATTGCTCCCCTTACTAACTGCCTCCATCCACTTAATGTACATTATAGTTTCAAATGGCACCTGCTGTCTCAAGGCCCATCTGTAGGACACCTCCCTCTTTTAAACTTTTTAAATACACTGCTTAGCTGCATACTCACTCACTACCCTCCTCCTTTCATAGTATTTTGGATGGTTTTTCAAGCTATTTAATAAGGTACAGTCCCCAACCTATGGGTATCTCTGAGATCTGAGAGATCAGAATTCCAAGATGGCATTCACAGTCAATTCTTCAAATTCTCTAAAAGCAAGAAATAAAGAGAGAGTGGAAGAGAAGTTAAAACCCTGCTTGATGATGGGCTTAATATTTTCTTTCCATGACTATCCCCTTTTCCCACCTTGGATCCAAGACACATAATATCATCTGAAAGTAAACAAGAACACCTTTCCTAAAGAAGAAAATATTAGTGGTATTAAAATCTAATCAGAATTATGCACAAAAGATACCTCATGAGGTTATGTGTTGAAATAACTGATTATAAAATAAAAATTATAAAATAGCAAGGAAATGACAAATGATAGCTTTGAGTGGAGAAAAAATATGGGTGGAAGTAGAGATAGCCAAATGGGTCACAGAAGCTTGCAGTTAAGTAGTATTCAGACATCTCATTTCTCTGAGCTAGCTTTCTGGGCTATAAGCTAAAACTGTAGCATTTACCTCACAGTGTATTGTAAGTATTAACTGAGACATGTATAGAGAATCATACATGAAATATATGTTCATGTGTATGATGAGGCAGATGCTTAAAATATGCTTGTTTGGGGACTACTGAAGAGGGAAAAGGTAGAATAAAAAGTAGATAGAAAATGATAAAACACAATTTTTCCTAGAGAAATCTTCCATTTACAGTCAATTCATCTTTGATTCAGATAGGATGTCAGTCATAAGGACTCTAGGTTACACCTACACATGAATGAAGGAGAAAGAATATACCCTTGACCATAAAGCGTAATTTGCTGTGCAACCAACATGCTCTCTGGCCAATAGAGGGCACAAGGTCCCCAAAGGACACAGACCCTCGGAGCACTGCTCTCCACCTGAGAGGACAGTTCATGTGTCTCATCCAAACATGCTACCTTTTATCAAGCACGTTTCCAGAGCTATCCTCTCTATTTGTCAGATAGATGAATCCTCTTCATGAGTCTATGTCTAACAGGAGGAGTTTCTGGTATTAAGAATTTTGACACTGATTGTAAGTGTTCACTTTAAAAAACAATCTCTCCCTCACTGCCTTGCACATTGTGAAAGGTATGCTGATATTAAGTCCCTCGTAGCTCTGCATAATTTTTACCACTGAAGTAATTTTACCCTTATTTAGGATCCTTCTATTAGCCCTGAAACTTATGTTTTTAAAACCATGAAATGCATTGGATGGAAATATATTTCATTAAGCAAAGTTTGTATGACATTAGTGGTTAATTAACTCATAATTGAATTAAGGGACTGAGTTTTTTTTTCCTTAGGCTAAAAAGGACCTCACATTTTAGAGGCACAACTAAGCATAACCCAGAGTTTATAATCACATGCTAACCCTCACATTCTAACTTCATGTATGATTTTATTAGAATATTACCTTTAAGTAAAATGTGTCTCTATATTTTTATGACCATACACACTTGTTTAGGTCTTTCTGGTTGTCTAGTTATCAGCAACACATTCTCTGAACCTTCTTTCGGGCTGTACCAAAGTTTAAAATGCCATATGCTCTCAACTTATCTTCCTACGTGCAGGAATATAGGCTGGGATCTTGTTCAGATAAGACATAAGATAAAATTTCCTAGAGGTTTCCAGCATGAGCAGAGGAGAAATGTTCCCTTGGTCCCTTGGACACAGTCACTAGGGTAACTGATTTTTGGAGCCATGTCTCTATTACTGGGGACAAGCATTAAGGTAAAGCTAGCACCCTGAAGTTGATCTGGCAAAACTGGAAGTACCTGGGACTTGGACTGGATAGCCTTGTGGTCTAAATCATGCAAATGGATGCTCAGCTTTCCAACTTGGATGGAGGTGTCTTGTGAGGCACCAGCTCTGCCCCAGATTCTAAGACTGCTCCACAGTGAGATCTTCCTACAGTAGCCTAGACAATGAGCTCTCCTTGCACCTTTTCCCTATCTGCATCAGCCTTGTAGTGCCTGCCTTGTACTCTCTGTGACATCTTCCATGCCCTAAAGAACCATAAGGGCAAATATCTGTGATTTCCATTTTTACATGGAACTCATCCTCTGAGCCTTGCCCCAAAGACACAGAGCCTGGGTCCCAGCTGACTGAGCCTAGGTCCTGCTGCCTGGCCCCTATGGCAGGGCCACTGGCCTCCAGCCGAAAGTTTCCAAGCTCTGCCTTAAAACTACTTGGTATTTACACACATGCTCCTCTGTGAATTGATATGTGGGTGAAGTTACCTGAGCCACCAAGCTTCAGACCACTGTTGCCACGTGAGAATGCTGTCCATCCCTTTTATAGTTCCCCAGTGTCCTTACATTGTCCATCCGTGTCTCTGCTATTCTTTTCCATCTGTAGAGAAATCAGATGGGGTTTTCTAAAAATACCTGGAGTCATTTAATTCCTTCAAACCACCCATCAAAACCTAGAGCCAAATTAGATAATAATGTAAATATAAGAGCTAAAACTACAGAACTTCTAAAAGAAACATACAACATTATTTCAGTATCAAGTGTGGCGAGACAAGCCATGAACAATAAATTGATGGCTTATCCTCCAAAACTACAAAATCTTCTTTTTAATGCTTGAAATGGTGGGGGAGAGAGAATAAGCAAAGCATGCACCCATATTAAAGAAACTCTAAAATGTAATAATACAAAAACAACCCAAAAGAGTCACGATTTGAACAGATGCTTCACAAAACAGTGGACAGACACAGCAAAGAAGCACACGAGAAAGTGCTTAATACACTAACTATTCGGAAATGCAAATTAAAATCAGGAAAGACATACCACTATACACGCAAATGTGGATGGCTACAACCGAGATGACTGGCGAACAAGTTTGGAGGATGTGGAGTAACTGGGACAGTTGTGATTTTTAATGCAAATACAAATGGTATAATTACTTTGAACATAATTTGGCAGTTTCTGATAAATCATACTACATGACTTCTCTGCTTTGCTTAGCTGTTTACCCAAGGGAAATAAAAACAGTGTTTCCACAAAATGGTCCTCACAAAGAATTCTAGCAATTTTATTCATAATTGCCTAAAACTGAAACTGACCCAAATTTCTCATCACCAGCAAAGAGTGAACAAACTGACACACACCATTCAGTGGGATCCTAATTTGCACTTCAAAAGAACAAGGTATAAATTTGGGAAACAACACCGGTGAAGGACATTGTGCCAAGTTACTTTCTGCGCTGTTCCATACATCTCCAACAGCAAAATCACAAGGTCAAAAACCAGGTGGGTGGTTGCCTGATGTGCGGCACAGGGGGTGGGGTAGGGTGGAGGTTGACTGCAAGGGTGGGGTATGAAGCAACTTTTCGGGGTCAATACTGTCCGGTATCTTTACTGGTTACACAACTGTGTACCATTCTAAACTCAACAACACGTACTTTTTTTTTTTTTTTTTTTTTTTTTTTTTTTTTTTTTTTTTACAAAGAGTGAATTCCCCTGTCAGCAAATTATTTCAATGGGTGAAACTCAGGGAATATTTTTCAGTGAGCTCTCATTTTGCTTTGAAAAGTCCTTCTGATTCTAGCTATTCAGGAAAAGGAGAGTTTATATTAAGATGTCAGAAAACAGAATTATACAGGCAGTCCAAAGAACATCATACTATTCCAAGCCTAGAAGACTCTATTTGTGTCTACCAAGCCCCATTCCATGCTCCTCACTTGATGTCCTGACCCCTATCAATGCTTCAATTTCATAAGCCCAGGTGCAGAATCTGACTGTTCAGCTCAACACTCTACTCACTGGCTAACCTACCTTGCTCCAGAGGTTATCCTGATCTGTTGGAGATCCAGAAAGCCAGGATTGTTAGGGAAAGCCTTTAACACACATTATCTTCTAGTGTCCTTAGGTTAAGTGCAAATGCCTGACCCTGATGAGTAAGGCACTGCTTACCCCTCCAGCCTCGACTCTCCTGACTCAACCACACCCTCCCACCCTCCCACAGCAGCTCCCGCATTCTATGAGCAAATGTAACTACCGGGTACTTCTCCCCAAAGGAGCCAAGATTTCTCTCAGCACAGTTCTGAGATACATGCTTCTCCCTGGGTCCAAAGACAAATTTAGTTTCTTCTTTGCCTCACCTCCCAAGTTTGAGAACCTAGAACTCTTTGGGGTCACTGCCACAGCCATAAAAACTGTGAAAGCCACCAGATCACTCTCCTGTAGACTCTGGGGAAGGCTTTAACTCCCTGGCTTAAATGGCTTAGAGAGCTGATATATTTTGACTACTAATATGCAAGTATACACGTTAGGTTAAAAATGCAGCTCAAGCTGGATCTTGAGACTCATATCTGTAGCCTCAGTACTACAGACACTGAGGCAGGAGGATCCTGAAACAGGATATACCTATGAAGGCGATTGCTGTGCCACTTAGATGGATATAGGAACCAGCAGTGTGAATAGTCTCCTGGGGTTCTGGGGCAACCACTATATCAGAATTTGTGTCCCTGTGTTTTTAAACACTTTAGAAAAACAAAGGAGGGATTTTTGTTTGTTTGGTTTGGTTTGTTTTTTTTTTGGTTTTGAGTTCATGACTTCAAAGGATTCTATCCATTATGCAAGTTACTATCATGGGGATCAAAAACAAAAAAGAATGAGAACGAGATATTACCTTTAAAGTTCTATTTCAAGAAACCCACTTCTGAATTCATCCAGGTTCTACCTCCTGAGTGTCCACCACCTTCTGAAAGGGCACCACTGCTGAAGATCAGTGCTCAATACAGGCACCTACAAGAAAGACAAGACTGTGAATGGCATTTCATGTGCAAATCATAACACACTGTGATTTCACTCTGACTGCAGATCACCCGCTGACCCACCAGGGTGTTCTGTTGGACTGTCCTCAGACTGGCTGGTCTCTGCTTTCCAGCTCTGCCTCCTAAGCTATGCCAGAATGCACCATGTGCAGTGGGGACAGAGCAGCATGACTAGCATCTGTCAGGATGCCATTTGCCCTCCACGCTTTCCCTCTGCCAAAGCTACTGGCAACATTTGAGAAGATGCCTGGGGCTGAGAGATCACTCTGTTACTCCATTCATTTACACTTCGGAGACATTAATTTGTCTATTATTTTTACAATGGCTTATTCCACTCAGTGCCCTCTTCAGTCCAGGGCAACCCCCAACCCTTGCCCACAGAACACTAGCAAAAGTACATAGTTACCACTGCCACTATTCCTACAATCAGCAAGGGAGACAGATGTTAATCAATTCATTACTAATTTAAAATCAGAGTTTATCAGATTCTCTACTTTCAACTGAACAAGCCTCCTGAAGCTCATGTTTGGTTAATGGAATTCCTCACTACCACAGAATCCTGTTTCCTGCCTCGACACCCAAGTGTAGTGCCTATATTACCTCTTTGGGAAGTTTGTGAGCCACAAAGCCATCCTGTCTTTGCCCCAGGAAGCTGGATTCTCCAGGCTCATTTGCAGACTGCATAGCCTTACAACATGTGTATCTGTCTCCATTCTGTGAGGGAAAATGTGGGCAGGGGATACTGTGAGTCTGGAGACGAGAAAGTACTAATGTACTCTGCCCACAATACTGGCCAGGATTTCCCCACTGGGGCTAACTTTAGCCCAATGCCACAGCAAAGATGGCAAGGCCATAACCTTGGTTCAGAAAGGTGTGCTATGTGTGCCCTGCCTGCTGAAGTCTACGGGGAACCAGGAAATGTGGGAATGAGGGCCTGTCCAGGCTTTGACACCAACAAGAAAATGCTTGATATTTATCGACATACCATTCCAGTGAGTAGTAATGCCTGAAAACACAGATGTTTAGGGACAACGAAATTCAACTTTTTGCCTGGATCACTGCACTGGTCTTGTAAGGAAAAAGAATGCTCCAAATTACCAGATAAACTGACAAAACTAGAATATGAACCTAGATTAGCTACATGTTTCTTATCCATATAAATCTGTGACTCTCAGAAAAGCATGGTGGTTATATAAAACAGTATCTCTATTCCCGGGAAGGCTACATCAATGTACAGAGGGCTAAAGGGTCCACGGTGTTTGGAACTTACCAACAAATCGATTCAGAAAAAAAAAAAAAAGTATTGCGAAAGCATGTAGAAACTTTCAAACGTCTGTAAAAGTTCTACGACCTGCCAGGCTTTGTGTCTGGTGCAGTATAGATCGCTTATGAGAGCCTGCAGGAAAACTGCAAAGTTTGAAGCAAATCAACTCGGTAGAAGTTAGCCCAGTTTCCTCTGCTTCGGTTTGCTTTTGAATCCTTTGTCTACAAAAGAGTTCTTGTGTTCCTTTCCCCAGGAATCTAAGATTTATTCACATCATTTTCTCTGGATGTTGTGGGTTTCTGAGTTTGGACCAATGGCCAGAAACAAGACTGAGTGTTCAGTTGTAGGAAAGGAAAAACTTTTCATTGATTACATCAGTCTGAGGTCGGAAAAACCACTATTAGAAGCAGGAGGTACAACACAGTGCTCAAAAAGAGCGTTGGGACAATACAGACAACTTTCAAATCCTTGCCCTGTGCTCTTTCCCAGCTCCTCGACCTTCTGGAAGTTACTTTTTAGAGATTCGGTCTCTATTCTCTACCGTTGTTCCAGGAACAACCTCAGAGGCCAGAGTGAGGGAGAAGTAGGACTCATGAATGTTTCACACCACGTGTCTTCTCAACGACGGTGATTTACGGTTGGAGCTGCTTTTACAACGCCAAGACCCAAGAAAAAGGTGTAATTATTGGTATCCTATCTGTTCTAAAAACCCGACATAACCCAGACATTAAGAATTATTTCGAAGGGGCTGATTCACATTAACCCCGCTGCTTTTTCGGTGGTCACTTTAGAAACCGGGTATGGCCCGTCTGGGCATTACTTTCAGGAGGGCCCCACTTCAGAGGTAAAGAACACGAGGCTTGCTCGGCTGCCTCAAGAAAACAATGAAGGGCCTCTCAGGCTTCCCTCCTTGGGCTACTCACACGCAGCTGGCGAAACTGAGGCAGAGAAAGGTGAGGCTCG